CAATATGATAGATGAACTACTATTTATATTCAATAGCTACGATCCTTACATACAGTTTACCATGGAAGTCGAAGATGAAAATCAATCTATTCCTTTCTTAGACACTAAACTAATCCGCTCAAATGATAACATCATTATAGTTGATTGGTACACAAAATCAATAAGTTCAGGCAGGTACATTAACTACATGTCCTATCATAAACACTCCACCAAACTAAACTTAGTAAAACAAATGAAAAATAGGGTTCTACAAATTTCAGATATATCATTCAATCAAAATAATCTCAAAATACTTTATGATCTCTTTATAGATAATTCCTATCCACCTCTTCTTTTAAAAACACTTTTATATAATACTACATCAGTAACATCTATCAATCTAACTACCTCCCAACATTCTAACATAGCAAGTACAAATTCACAGAATACGGTTACCAGTCAAACCCTTCCAACATATTGTGTGCTGCCCTACATACGGGAACTAACACCAAAACTAACTAGAATCTTTAAATCATATGATAACATCAAAATAGCCAATAAAATAGTTTTAACAGTAAACTCTATTTTCTCAAAAATGAAAGATCGTACTCCGCATGACCAAATATCTAATGTTGTTTACAGTATCCCTTGTATGGACTGCAATGGGAAGTACATCGGCCAAACCTCTAGACGTCTTAAAGACCGTGTTACCACTCACAAAAGTGACTGTAGACTTTACCCAGATAGATGCACCCTAGCCAACCACGTTCACACCCACAACCACAGAATGAATTTTGCAGATGTCAAAATCCTCGAAAAAGAAACAGCTTATAAGAGAAGACTTTTTTTAGAAATGACCCACATAGCAACAACAGATAATATAATCAACACAAAATCAGATATACAACACCTTAGTGAAATTGATTCCTTTCTACTGCAGTTGGAAACAAAAAATAATCAAGTCAACGAACTGTAATATTCTGAATAGTATAATATTGTCTATAAAACTCTTCTGACCATCCAATTGAAGTAGAAACTTAATCATTATTACTGCAATTGTTGCATTTTTCCAAGAAATTAAATTCTTAAGAGTAATAACAATAATTAAAATAACTTTAAAAGGAATAATCACAAAGAAATAAATAAATTCTATATGTATTTATTAATAACAGAATTTAATTGTCTTAAATTAACATAACATAATTTTCAATTAAATGTAACTTTACACATAAACTGAACACAGCTTTAGTTTTCTGGCTGACATCTACTAATATGATAGCTGACAAGACACATTAACCTTGAGGTACATACTAGATTTCCACCTCCTTTTGTGCATAGGTTGACTCGACCTGGTCCAAAAAATGACAATGTGATATGTAGTTGTGTTTTAACTGTTTTGTTTCTTAAATGTTCAATGTTTTTTAATATTTGTATTGTACTAGCACACTGGAGGAAAATAACAAAAACGCACTTGTATTGTTTGAGTTTTCAAGCCACCATATAACACATATAACTTATTCCTTTTTTTTGCTATAAAAAATCTTCAAAAAAGTTTTTCAACATGGAACTTTCAAATACCACTTTTGCCTGCAACCTCACACAAGTAAGTGTTTCACTACATCTTATGTAAAATACACAATTTCACCATTTTGTAACATATTGTAGCATTCGTCTGAAGATGTTAAAGAAATTTAACGAAATATAACGAAGTCGTTGAAAAGAGCACACTTTGGCTTTCATTATTCAGCTGCTAACCCAATTAACCTTACCATTATACTATATATATATATATATATATATATATATATATATATATATATATATATATATATATATATATATATATATGAAACGTCAATAAACTTATTTTAAACTTCAATTATGGCTTAAAATAGTGATTGCTTTAAGATGCCATAAGAAAATAGCTAACATTTTTTTATTTCCTTTATTCTAACTTGCTTGGATAGGATGCTAGGAAGTGGGGAAATAAAAGAGAAATAGAAAATCCAGGTGCAGGTACGTTCACCTTGCACACCGGTGCTGAGGTGTTTTGAAGGACACAATGCTGAACTTTGGGACGTAGACCTACAGATCTGGGATAGGGTATATTTAGAACAAAGAATGGGGAATTGAAATGTAACAATTAAAATGACAGAATTTGTTACTAAAAGAAAGGAGGAAATAAAGGATGCCATCTAGTCCTGTGTCGAGTAACGAGGAAAACTTTGCACTTAACCTTTTCAGAAGATTGGTTTATGGAAGATTTAAAAAAATGTCTAATCATCCAAGTGGCTCTAAGAGGCTAATCCTCTCAGCATACATAGTCAGAAAGAAGGACAAGCAAACACACTTACCTTATACTGTCGCTCTACATTCCTGGCAAATTTACCTTCATATTAGTTACCAAAAGAAAGAAAGATTATGATACAGTGTTAAATAATTAATTGCTACAAATTAACAATTTTTATTTTTTAAATCTTCAGTCAGGAAAATTATTATATAATGTGAACACATTGGCAAAGTAAACATAAATTAAACAAGGCAAATAGCAAAAAAATGCAAATTTAGACAAATTAAGTATTAAATAAATATTTCTAAAATTAGACAAAATACATTTACAACTGGCTAACGCTGAAAGGTGAAGTTAAATAGCAAATATTTATCAAAACTACTTTAACATTACCTCAGTTATAGCATCATTATTATGATATTATTGGTATTATAACTTACTTTTTAATACAAAAATACCCATAAATTAGCTGAACAAAAAGTATTACTGAACCTACAAACTTTTAGGTTATACACAAAAAATAAAGATTATTACAGAATACAAAAATTAAGGTACAAACCCTATACAGAAAAACAACACTGCATTGCACTAAATACGTATATAATAAAAGTTATACATGCAATCAGGTGTCTTTTATTAGGTAACCAGATAGAAAACATGATGTGATTATATGTCAAAACATTCTGACGATATGTTTTAAATTCTAATAAACTTAAATAGGGCTTAGCTTACTTTTCTCTACACAGCACTTAACTTTTTACTAAATTAAAATTCATCACTTCATATCATCTTTGTTTAGCTGATTCATATCTCTAGAAATATGAGATCTTATTATTCTATACTTAGGTATATACTAGCCGTACTGCGTTCCAATATCGAGTTTTTTATTTTTCTTACGGACCACATACCCAACTGCGGCAATACAAACAGCCCAAACTGAGCTGGACTCCAAATATCGTAGTCAACATGGAAGTAAAGAGATGACAAAATTCATTCTTCCGCGAGCATTCATTCTCCCACCAGCTAAAAGTTCTCCACCCAAACTCCAATCTTTGATCGACTGCTAATTATTTTCTTTTTCTCGCCAAGTGGAAAAATCCATATTTATTTTATGCGTAAATAGCCTATATGATAAATCAGTATTTTATTTTAAACTCTGTAGGCGGAACAGAGATCAAACGAAAGAGCAATTTGTTTATTATAGACAGACTCCAAAATGCTACAACTTTATTGCATTTTAAACAATAAATCATAAAATAAAAATATTGACAATTAGAATATTGTTAATATCTAACTTCATTGTAACCGAACGTACAGTGGCACACACAGGGGTTTTTTGGGGATTAACCCCCCAGAGCTTGTCTTTCACACACAATACAAAAAATCCAAAATGCTAATTTAATAATTAAATTACCACTTTAAATATGTAGAATACAATAATTATTGTATAAATACACAGTAAGTAATAATTATTGTTGTGTGCTTTTATATTGTTAGAAAGAAAGCTTAAATTATAAGATTTGGCAACATTGCCAGCCGAATAATTAGACAGCAACAAAGAATTGACACGTGCCTTTGTGTTTTGGATAAAAAACTTCGGGAAATCACCTAATTCTCATTTAATTTTATGTTTTATCCATTTGTCTAAAAATGCGTCTGCGTTGTCTGGTGCAAGTAGTATGTGCCTACAGGATTGTATCTGCGGCGGCTTGTGGAAAATCACGGATTGTGTTCCTCTTTATGTGTTAGCGGTGAAAAGGAGACATCTCTATGAGAGAAGAGAGAATTCGACAACAGCCATAGAAAAAAAGAAAAAAGGCAAAGGTCAATGGAAATATGGCAAAAAGAGTGGAACAACACGGAAGATGTTGCTTAGTGGACCAAGATGCTGATCCCGAGCCTAAGGGACTGGGTCGATTGTCTGTTTTAAGGCATATCTTCGTAGGTTCAGAAAGACAGATACAGATTAATGCCTATAGAGCGACTATTCCTACACTGTTATTCACACAATGCTGGAGTGTAATAGATGTACAGTGGAGAAACAGAATATATGGAGAAATAGGTATGAACCTTGTGACTGAGAGAGAGATGATCATGAAGATGACGGAAAGTAATCCGAACAGTCATCAAAAATAAATAAAAAAAAAATGGGAAACACCAACCGGACCAACGACGGTGATAAGATCTAGATAAGAAAAGGAAGTGTTCCAAAAATATCGTCAGCCTTTCAGCGGCATCCCAATTTCGGTGTACGGTACGTGCGACAGTCAACTACAAACAAGTAGGAGAGGTAAACAGAGATAGTTTAGTTGGTAGACAGGATAACAGATACTTGAATTTTTGGCACTGCTATCTTTAGTAATTTAAATTAAAATAAAACCCAAATTATAAGGACACAAAATGGAGGTAGCATACAAAAAATCGGTGTCCAACCAAACCCCAACTCAGAAATATTCTAGGTGCGCCACTGCGAAAGCAATCCGGTATACTCATTCTTCACCACTTGTAGCCTAATTTTTACAACAATACTGTGGCAGGTGTGTCATATTTTTGCAAAATTTAAGAATGTAAAATAATTAGGCAAGCAGAAATTCAACGATTCACCACCCAATACAAATAGGCAAATGCATAAATAAATCAAACTGGCAGCAGGTGTATGTTCTCAAAAACCTGTTGCCAGTTTGACCTATATTTTAGTTAAAGCTTTTAACTGTTTTGTTTCCAATTTCAGAAAACGTTAAAAAGGAGATAAAGGATCACAAACACAGAAAACATAAAGTATCAAAAGAAAACAGGTCTACAGACAGACAAATCGTAGAAAAATATTCTGAATGTAAAAGCAAATCTAACAAAAAACAATTTGCACAGTCAAAAGAAGATAATACCCCTTCAGTAAAAGGATCATTACAAAAATGTAAGACATTTCATTTGGGAGAAAATTGCCAACATAGACCACGTTCATCAATGCCTACAAAGCTAAAAGAAAAGGAAGAAAGAAAACCGCGAGCCAAAAGTGATAAACGTAGTACAGAAAATAAAGTGTCCGAAATTTGGTACTGCCATATAGATAATACGGAACCATTTAAAGAGTGTGCTAAGAATCAAGAATGTCTTAAAACCATACGTGGAAAAGTGAGACAAAATGACAAACAATATGTTAAAGAAAGAGCTAAATCTTCTCCAGAAAACATACGCTGTAGTAATCATCAACATAGGCATTTATCTAATGTAACAAAGTTTAAAAATGCCCCTCTTAAAGAGCACACTAAATCTGTCTTAAATATGACTAACAAACATGTTGATAAACATAGTAATGTGGAAGAAATGATAGGAAAAGAATGCTCAAAAACTATAGAACACAATCTTAAAAGCTATTTTGTTAAAATTGAAAAACTAATAGATCAAAAACTCAACACTTACCTCCAACAAAAAAACACAACAGTTATAGAATCTCTTGAAGGAAAACAGGGACAGAGCGAAAAAGAAAGAAAAAAGCACAAACGTAATCGAGAATCAATTATAAAGAAAAGAAATATGTCTGTATCTTCTGAATCTTCTCGAAATGATAATGGAAGTAGAAAACTATCTGTATCTCCTGCTAAACTACATCAACGTTCCAGATCAATGTTTGCCGCTAATGTAGAAATTTCTCCAAGCAAAATCGAAAAGGAGACGAAAAAGCAAAAGTAAGTGGTTACTTAGAATAATCATTACACTTGTTTGACAGTAAGTAGAAAATAGCTCAACGATAAATATATACCAATATGATCTTTTTTCTGTAGGGGTAGTTACCACCCCAACTCAGGGGATGAAAAAAGTTGATAAAAAAATCATGGTAGTCGCTAGAATAGTGCATTTTAAGATAAAAATGTTCATTAGAGTTTTTCCGAAAAGTCAATATTTTCAAAAGATTTATTCATGACTAAAAATTCACAAATTAGACGTCAAAAAAATCACGTTTGTTAAACGGTTTTTCGCGAATAACTCAAAAATTTAGATTTTATCGGGAGAACTGTTTCGATATAAACTAAAGTTTATAAAACGAGATTCATTGTTTCACTGTTGACTTCATGTTTGTTCCATCACATTCAGGTATACAAGAAAATGAAGACGCAGATCTAGCCCGCTTAGCATCCTTCAGCCGGGACTCCATTCTTAATAATGAGGTTTCTTTAGATGACTTCAACTCAGAAATAAAATATAAAGTGTTAAGTGCGTGGTAAAATAAGTGGAGTGCATCACAAAATAAACTTAAGGAAATTAAACAATTAGTGAAACCGTGGGTCCAACCCACAGCGAATAGATACGACCAAGTGAGAATAACACGTTTGCGACTAGGATACAGTAACTTAACACATAAACACCTCTTTAGAGCTCTTGTTAATGACAACGGTCAACGGGTCGTTTTTGACACCGTCCCGTTGGCCGTTGCTCAGTGTCTTTCAAGTTCTTATGAATGCTTGTTCACGAAACGGCAACCAACCCGTTAGTTAACTTTTCACCGTCTACGTATCCAGTCCCCCTCGGCAAGACGTTCGACGGGACGGTGCCGTGAACCCTCAGTCACCCTCAGTGAACCATTTTAGTTTATGCAAGTGTGTTAACGGCGTAGGACGAGCATCCGTTGTTTCAATAAATTTCTTTCTTTGTTGCCGCTAAAATATGGATTTTGATATAGAGATTTTAATGTTATTTCACCAATAATTTTTATTTTATATATAGATTGTATATTCTTAAATGATAATTTTTTTTTAGTTTTTTTATAACCAAAAGTTTTTATTTTGTTATAATAATAGCATAATTCATATATACGTAACTGCTAGTCGATCAGCAGGTGCAAGGGATAGCCTCATATTAGTGTCAGCACGTTTTAATTTATCATGTATTATTCCTAACAATTTGCGGAAAGTTTCTTGACCTATTCGGAAGTAATTGAAGAATTTTGTTTCGTCTTTTTTCAATTCTTCGTAAAGTGTATGAAAAGCACCATACTTTTCTCTTTCTAACAAAATAGGATGTATCCATATTTTTCTTTTACGCTTCTCCCGTTGCTTCTGCATTTTTTATACAAATAATAGACTAGTATAATTTTTTTCTTTGACGACAACATGATATAACATGTATTGCGCGCACTTGTTACTTTTGTATATTTTGATCATGAAGTACCTATCTTGCACATTCGCTTCCAGTTAACCCAACCAGCCTGTATCCTGTGGGCAATTTCTTGATCCAGTGTCCCATTGTCCGTTATGTTGAAGCCAAGGTATTTAAATTCTCCTACTCGTCCTAGCTTTTCTACAAGCAATTCTACGCCCCCAACCGTTCCTCTTTCTCCCAACCACATATACTCTATTTTCGACCTGCTAACCTTGAGTACTTACTCTTGAATAGCTCTTATCTAACACTCCAACTTGTCCTCCAACATTTCTTTGTTATCCTCTATTTACACGTTATCAGGAAAGAGCATTGATTCTTTTCGCAGTATTTCTCTATATATTGTCTCAACGCAAACAAGGCATCCATTGTCCTCCTTCCTAGTATAAACCCAAATTGTTCTCCTATCGATGTCTCTCTTCTTAACCTTTGTGCTACAATTTTCTCCCAAATTTTCATTGTGTGCGACATTACTTTATCCTGCTATAGTTCTTACAGTCCTGAATATCCCCTTTATCTTTATACAATGATACCATCACACACTCTCTCCATACATTGAGCATCTTTCTTCCTCATATATCCTACTTATTATTTGCCATAAAATATCTACCCCTTTATCTCCTAGAACCTTCCAAACTTCCACATGTATTTCATCAGATCATACTGCGTTACCGTTCTTCGTCCTATTTAACGCTTCGATAACTTCATCTCTCGCTATCCCCAATATTACATTCTCATTTGAGATCCCGCAAAATCTGTCTCTCCTGTGATGTTTTTTATCTTTGTTATATTTTAACATCGGTTCTTAACACTCTTCCGTCCGCACTTCTTAATTAGCCCCACGTGAGTCAAGTCCTTTGATCACTTGTCCTTTGCTTTAGCAATGCTGTATATCCTTTTACCGTCGGATGTCTTCAACTCTTAACCTTTATCTCCGTATCCGCTACCACCGGCCAATGTTGGCTAGCTACACACCCACCCTTTACCTCTTTACAGTTCGTAACCTCTTTTAGCTGACTTCTTCTACACAACATCTATCTGACTTTCTCTTCCCCCTCTACTATAGGTAACATGCTGGTCTTCACTCTTCATAAATAACGTATTAATGACAGCCAAATCTCATGCCACTGCAAAGTCAATCACACTATTTCCTTCATAATTTCTTATTCCCATCCCCAACAACCTTTAAACAATCACATCTCGGTTAATTTTTAGTTTATAGAAAAAAAATTAAAATCTTCAGTAGTAAAAAAGCTGTTTTTGAATTGTCAAATTTTTTCTGTTCTTTTTAGTTGTTGAGTCATTTTGAAAAAGATTGGATTTTTTTGAAATACTGAGATAATAGTGTTTTCATTTTAAACTCAGATTTTTTAAAAAATAAACCTTTTAAACCAGTTAAACTTCAAGAATATAATGTTTGTATATAAATGAAGTAAATTAGTAAATGGTAAATGAACAACGAATAGTTTCGACCAGGATGGTTTTGGTGGAAGTGAGTTTGTTACTTTCTGCGTCACAAAAAATATAAGCGAACTTTATTTTAGTTGTAACTTACCATTTTAAAGGTTTTTTTTAATCATGTAAAAAAGTTTCTTTAACTTTTCGATGAAAAACTTACCATTTTCTGCTTATTCTAGAACTCTCGTGAACTTTAAGTCACGAATAACTCCAAAAATATTGACTTTTCGAACAAATTCTGAAGAACAATTTTGTCTTAGAATTCACGATTCTAGTGACCACGATATTTTTTTTGATAAACTTTTTCCACCACTGATATGGGATGGAAACCACCCCCAGAGTGAGGTAAATCTGCCAAAGTATAAAGCAAATTGATAATTAAATAAAATTCAAAGGTTTTCAACTATTTTTATCGTCATATCCTTTACAAAATCGCTGAAATTTTGTGGATGATAATCAAAAATGTGAAGGGATATTCGTGGCAAAAATAATTCAGAACGATATGAATAAATCAATGGTATTTTGTCTAAGAGTGTATATTTAAATCATCATTATTCTGTTTACGTTTTTCGATATGAAATATCGGCTTCCCTAATTACACTTCTTAACAAGATTCTATCTTGGGTCATACCAATATTAATATCGTTTACAGATATGTCCTAAAGCTGAAGTGTAAAATCCAACTATGGGTATCAGCGTCGGGGCATAATATAGATATCTTAAAGAAATTCTAATCAAAAACCTTCTACATCATTACAAATGGATCTTGGTGAAGTTAAAAGTTTTTTTTAATGATGAAACAATAGGAATTTGTCATCGGACGGTTTCCTACAAGATACCTCTAGATAAACAAACTATTTACTTATTATAGTTAAATGATATCTAGAAAAAAGATTAAGAAATGTTGTTGAAAAAACATTAAAAGATAATCAATGCGACTTCAGGCCATTAAGGGGTACAACAGATTTAATATTCACACTACGACAGCTAGCAGAGAAAGCACTACATAATATACTATACTTCGGTTTTGTATATCTTAAAACAGCCTTTGATCTACCATAACAGGAGGGAAAATGGAAAGCTGTTTAAGAGAGAAGGATTAATAACAAGCTACTCCTAGCTCCCAAAAGTATATACAGTTGTATAAGAAATGTGATCAGAATGAACAACCTAAAATCGAAAGTATTTGTTAAGAAAATCGCATACTAGGAGGGGTATTAAGTCCTTTGTTGTTTGCTACATTACTTGATAAAATAGCCAAAGAAGTGTCAAATACGTAACAGTTGCTGTAAGAAAATTACGACAAATATTCATATCAGAATTAATCTATGCTAATGATTTAGTTATTGAGGCAAATACCCAAAAAGACCTAAAAAAAAGTTTGCAAATTTGAAATGAATATTTTAATAAATACAAAATGAAGATTAACCTTGACAAAACTGAGATTATTAAAGTTTCGAAGAAGGCTGAAAAAAGGGATGTCAGAATAGATCAAAGACAGATTAAGCAAACAGATAATTTCAAATATTTGGGTTGGATTTTAAATGCGGAGGGGAAAATGAAACTTCTTCTTAACGTGCCCTATCAAGTCCCCTTGACGTTGGCGATTAACATGGCGAAACTGTCTCTGTCTCGAGCTATTCTAAACAGTTGCCCAGCTTTCTTTATTCCTGTCCACTCCCTGATATTCTTCAAACAAGAGGCCTGCTTTCTACCAATTCCTCTTTGTCCTTAGATTTTACCCATCATAATAAGTTGAAGTATATCGGTCTCCCCTTACTACGTGTCCAAAATAGGCCATCTTTCTACATGAAAGATGGCCTATTGACACAATTGTGTATTCACAAACAAAAAAATAGATGACTATTGTGTATTCACAAAATGAAACTAGAAACCAATATTAGTATCTGCACCAAAATAAAAACATTTAACGAATATACGTGCCCGTGCTACTATACGGATTAGAGACAGATATAAGGAGATAGGGACAAAAGTTTAAAAAAAATCAAAGAATGAGTAGGAGTAGCTCTTTTGATATGTAACTGGATCTGACCTATCTAACCTCCAATTAGGAGACGGGACTTAAAGAAGAAGATAGTCTTATTGCTTATTATTTGTTTATGATAATATATATACTTAAGGCGAAGAGGAGAAAGCACCGGGTTCTAGATTGAACGTATGTCCTCTTATTTTATATAGAGTTCATGGTATGTGCAGAAAGCAACAACGAGAAGCGATAGATTAAGAAACGATTTTATACGGGAACAATGTAATGTTGTATCGGTCTTAGACAAAGTGGAATAAAGACAACTTTCGTGGTTTGGTCATATGGTCCGTATAAATGATAATAGATAAATGAAAAGCAAGTGTAACAAGCAGGAGTAGACATAAAACGAAAAAAGCAGACCAGAAAGAACAGGGAATACCGAGATTGGAAAGACGCTGAAGAGACGAGGAAAAAGTTGGGAGTGAAGTTGGAGTTGGAGTCGATGGCCAAGAACCGTGACATTTGAAAAGGCTTTTACTCCAAACCTTGAATGCCTTACACCTGTAAAGGTAAATAAGGCTTAATGATTAGAAAAGTAATTGAATTACAAATTGTAAATAAATACGAGAAAAGATTATTGGTTATAGGTGTTAATATCACAAAGACAATGCATATCTTAAACGTTGGGAAAAAGTTGGGAGTGAAGTTGGAGTTGGAGTCGATGGCAAAGAACCGTGACATTTGAAAAGGCTTTTACTCCAAACCTTGAATGCCTTACACCTGTAAAGGTAAATAAGGCTTAATGATTAGAAAAGTAATTGAATTACAAATTGTAAATAAATACGAGAAAAGATTATTGGTTATAGGTGTTAATATCACAAAGACAATGCATATCTTAAACGTAAATAACATTGCAAAATAAAAGCAGGAACGCAAACAACAAGAAGGAATCAGACAAAGTGAACGCCTAAGTCTATTTCTTTTTAATGAATGAATGGATATAATATTAGAAGGTATAGCCGCTCTTAAAATGGGATATATAATTAACAACAAACAAATCAGTATGATCTGCTTACCAAGTACGCGAAACCTAGCACATTCTAAAGTTAGACTATACAAAACTTATATTAGACATACTATTTTACTACTGCTGCAGGCAGGATCGCCATGTAATACTGCCGAAATAAAATCTTTGTTTGGGAGCAGGTGTTGGTTGCTTTCAATATTAAGTAGTTAAGAGACAGTACGTTTATTCTGATTTTTCAATTAAATGTAAAAGTGTATTCTTGCAATCACATAAATTGCTTACACAGTAGCGCATGCTTTTAAGGATCATAATACTTTTCAAGTTACATAACAATTTATTAGTAAATTGCATTAAGACACCACAAGAAAATAGCTTTAACACATTATTTAATAAACAATTATCTGATATTTTTATAATACACAATCTTGATCCAAATAAGGATTAAGTACGTAATATTTTAAATTATTAAATACTGATCTACTTTTGATATAAAAATCTAAATAACAATTCTCATCACTCTATACTACGCATAGAAACTAAAAGGGACCACGTTAAAGCACAATTTAAGTGCAAGGTGTAATAAGATAAGGAAGACAAAAACGACTCCGTTATCTCTATATTAAATCGATAATGGTATGAATATAGATTTTATTTATTTATCGTATGGCAATTACAACACATTTAGAACAAAATTACAAACACTAGTAATATAGGTATATGACAAACTTTAAATAATTACAAACAAACATCAAGTGTATTAACATAATCAATTGACTCTGAAGTTGCAAACAGGAAGTCTTCAGGGCTACCGTTATAGGATCTTGAGGGACACTCTTCAATAATGTGGTCGATCGTTTGGTCCTTCCCACAGTCACATTGGGGAGACAGATTCTTTCCCCATTTATGTAGCATGTATGCACATCTGTCATGTCTGGTTCGGATCCTGTTTAGAGTGGACCATGTTTTACGTGGAAGATCAAAACCTGGTGGCTTGTGGGTAATACAGGGCATGTTATTTTGCCATGCATTCCATTCTTGGGACCATGCATTCGTGATGTTGAACTCCTCATGTATCATTCTTGCCGTTTTCATTGGTGGTTTTCTAGAACGTAGATGGGTATTTCGTGCATCCTCGGTATCTTGGTGGATCGGCAGGTTTATATTGTTCATGATCTTTTTGTATTCACGTGTAAGTGCATCAACTCGTCGTAAATTTGGAGGTGGAATGTGACTTAATACTGGAAGCCATTGGGTGGGAGTTGATTTAATTGTACCAGCTATCATCCTCATAGTGCTGTGTAGCTGAGTGTCGACCTTTTTTACATGTGGACTGTGTAGCCAAACTGGGGCACAATATTCAGCGGTCGAGAAAACAAGGGCTAAAGCAGTAGAGCGGAGAGTGGAATGCTCCCCAGGTGGTACCGCAGAGCTTCTGTATAATGTTATTTCTTGTACTCAACTTTTGGGCAGATTTTGTTAAATGCTCTTTAAATGATAGCGTTCTGTCTAGTGTTACGCCCAGGTACTTCGGTGTTTTGTTATGAGAAAGTGTGGTATTTTAAGTTCCTTTCCAGCAAGTTTATTGTTCAGGTGAAAGCAACTTACTTCTGTTTTGGATGCATTTGGTTGAAGCCGCCACTTGCGAAAATATTTGCTCAATATATATAAGTCTGCCGTCAGACCGTCGCCCGTAATGGAGAGAGCACTGACCCCTGTGGTAGGCTATTCTTAAGTTTCTTTGGTGGGCTGATATTTGTGCACATCACTACTTGAAACATTCGGTCGTTAAGCATGCTATCTATTAAACGTGCTATTTGTTTACAGGGAATTTCACGGAGAATTTTGTATATAAGGCCCTCTCTCCATACTGTATCGTACGCTGCCGAGAGATCAATAAATGCCGCTGAAGTTTTAAGTCTTCTTTGGAAACCCGCTTCGATGTAGGTGGTGAGTGACATGACCTGGTCCGCGCAGCTTCGTTCTGGTCGAAAACCCGCTTGTTCGACTGGGACTAATGAATATAGAGATAAGCCAATAATGGGACCTCTCCTGAATATTCCCTTGATATATTCTGTCGTTGTTATAGGTACAATAAATTCTTCTATATATTCCTTTCATCTTTAACCTTTATACATTTAAACCTGCTATCTTTAAACCATAACTAAATACAACCAAGAATTAATCTAATAAATCTTTTCTCATCTAGGACAAAAGTTAAAGAACAGATAAAATCCAAGGAACGTAGTAAGTCTGGAAAGCAAGAAAACCTTTATTGTGAGAAAAAAATTGAAAATGCCGAAGAAGATTACAAGAATATTAATTTTGAAAAGGTTTTTATAAGACCTGATATTCGACCAGAAGAAAAAGAAAATAAGGTTCGCAAGAACAAAATGAAGACAGAATTAGCAGTACCGATACAAAATGGTGAACGTCATGTTGCTGCTACGAAGTATATAGAAGACGTTCAGGAAATGTGTCGATATGATCCTGATAAACATTCTAAAATAAGGGTAAAGACATTTTTTTTAATAATATGTTTATTAGCAATGAAAACGAATAATTATAGATACTAGTCTCATGCTATCTTCTTTAAGTGTAATCTTTATTGGGGAGTTTGGCAATCATGTTGGCCACAATCATAACTTTCAAAGTGACTGATCTATGTTGCTCGAGATAACCCTGAACAATGGACGCAGATAATAACAAACTTAGAGACCCAAGGAGAACAGGAGGGGAATGGGTAAAAGGCAGAAGAGGCGGGCTAGGATATAAAACATATCGTCGGAAAACAATGGATGAGAACTACTCAGAGAAGACATTAGAAGAAGAAGAACATTATATGTTCTTATATATACATTTGAAACTATTTTTTTGACGTCCTTAGGTTAATTTCTGAAAAAAAAAATAAAGTAAAAAATATACTTCTTCTTCTTAACATGCCATACACCAAAGTGCGTAGGCGACTATCTCATTACTAGAATTCTGTTCTTGGCGACGTGACACAGCTCACCTGTATTATGTATTCCTGTCCATTCTTTAATATTCCTTAACCAGGATAATTGTTTGCGGCCGGCTCCTCTCCTACCTTCGATCTTCCCTTATAGGATTAACTGTGGTATTTCATATTTTGCTCCTCTCAATATGTGCCCAAGGTAACCAATCTTGCGTTTTTTAATTAATTCAAAGAGTTCTCTTTCCACGCCGGCTCTTTAAGGACGTCATCGTTTCGAACTCTATCCACCCAAGGTATGCGCATCATTCTTCTCAATGACCACATTTCAAATGCTTCAAGTTTGTTGATAGATGTTTTTTTCAAAGTCCACGTTTCCATGCCATAAAGCAAGATGGACCATATGTAGCACTTGACCATTCTGTAGCGTATTTCGAAGTTTAGGTGTTGATTACATAGGAGCGGTCTGAATTTCACAAAAGCTTGTCTTGCCATTTGTATTCGGGTTTTCATCTCGTGTTGTGGATCCGATTGGTCATTGATTGTGGTGCCAAGGTATTTAAAAGTTTTCACGCGATTTATACGATTGTCACCTATGCATATTATCGGGTTTTCTGGAGGGTTATTGCTAATGACCATATATTTCGTTTTCAAAATGTTGATTTTGAGGCCATATTTTTTACCTATGCTATTCACCCTATCAAGTATAACTGCTGATCTTCCAAATTATCAGTTATAATCACTGTGTCGTCCGCATAGCGTAGGTTGCTAATTGGTATGCCGTTCACCTTAATGCCTAATTCCGTATCGTCTAATGCTTCCGCAAATATATTTTCAACATATTAATTAAAAAGCATAGGAGAGAGTATGCAGCCTTGGCGGACACCTTTCCGGATTTCAAATTCATCCGTATATTGGTCTTGATCAATCCTCACCTTTGCCATTTGGTTCCAGTATAGATTATGAATAATTCTGATCTCCTTCTGGTCAATGTTGGCCCTATGTAGTAGTTCCATCATGATGTCATGTTTAACATTGTCATATGCCTTCTCGTAGTCGATGAAGGTGAGGTAGACATCTTTTCGTTGATCTAAGCAGTTTTGTATTAAGGTGTTCAAACATAAAATTGTCTCTCTTGTTCCTAGTCCTCCGTTAAAACCGAATTGTGTTGACCCGCTAAGTTCTTCTAGTATCTTGTACATTCTTGAGTGTAATATCCTAAGGAAGAGTTTCAACAAGTGACTCATTAAACTGATTAAGCGGTGTTCATTGCATTTTGTGGCATTAGCTGTTTTTGGGATCATCACAAAGGATGACTGCAGCCATTCTCGCGGAATGTAACCAGTATCATAAATTCTATTGAACAGCCTTACCAAGATTTCGATATTCTCCTCGTCTAGTAGTTTTATTGCTTCTATATTAATTTCATCTGGACCTGTTGCTTTATGCATCTTTGTGGTTCTAACTGCATATTCTATTTCACTTCGCATTATTGATGGCCCTGATAAGTTTTCGGAAGGAAGTTTGCGCGTTGGTTGTGTTGGTCTTTCGTCATTAAAAAGGCTTTCTGCGTATTCTTTCCACGCCATTGCTATCTTCTCTTCTGACTCTATGTATTCGTTTCTGTCGTTGCGTATTATTGTTCTGTGGTGGCTTTTGTGTATATTCGATATTTCTTTGATTTTCTTATGTAGTCCAAAACTATCTCCTTTTTCCTGCAATTGTTCTATTTCGTTGCACCTCTCCACCATCCAACGTTCTTTTGCTTTTTTAATTTTCTGACGGATTTCTTTGTGTATCTGTTTGTATTTGTCTTGATTACGTTGTTGTTTATGTTGCCTTCGCTTTTCCATTAAGTCCATAATTTCGTCCGTCCATCCATTCGTTATGCTTTCTCTTTCTGATCTGTGTTTTTACTTCCCTGTTTACTGCCAGAATCGTTCCTTTAATATCATTGACCATCTCTTCGATATCATCATTTTGTTCTATTACTCGCATTCTTTCATTAATTTGATTCGCGTAACTCTTCTTCAGATTTTCGTCTCTCATCAGTTCTCTTGTATTTATAGGTGTGCTGGTATCTGTATTTGTTCTCTTAATTTTTGCTAGTTTTAACCTCACATCTGCTATTAGCGGATTATGATCGGATGCAATATCAGCACCTGGATATGCTGCGATTCTTTTAATAGCTTTACGAAATCTTCTGTTTATTAAAACGTAGTCTATTTGGTTTCTAATTATTTGATTTGGACGGTCTCCTGGTGATCTCCAAGTATATAACTTACGAGGTGGGAGCTGAAACCATGTGTTCATGACGACAAAACCGTTCTTCTGGCAGAATTCACACAGCAGGTCGCCTCTTTCATTTCTAACTCCAAGGCCGTACTCTCCATTTATGTCTTCATATCTTCCTTTACCCACCTTGGCGTTAAAGTCGCCCATTATTATGTTTATGTCCTCTTTCTTTGTTAGTCTTATTGCTTTTTCCAGATCTTTATAGAACTTAGTTATTTCTTCTTCTGACTTATCTGCTGTTGGTGCATATGCTGGTGTCACATTTATGTTTACTGGTTTGCCTGTCATTTTGATCAACATGACTCGTTCGGAAATTGGAACAAAATCTGTCACCGATTTACTGGTCTTCCTGTCAAGAGCAATAGCCACTCCATGTCGGTGATGTTTATCTGTTGGGTCACTACACGAGTAATACATAGTAATCTTATCTTTCGTAAACTGTCCAGATCCAGACCATCGGACTTCACTGACTCCCATTATATTTATTTTCAGCCGATTCATTTCCTTTATAAGGTTGTGTAGTTTTCCTGGTTCATAAAGACTATTAACATTCCATGTTGAAGTTCGTTGGATATCATCTATTTGACACCGGGAGATTCTTCGCACCCTCTGACCATCTAAGGACTGCCCGGGACTGAGGGCCATCTGAGTTTTGTTTTGTTCTGCCATAATGAGATGAGTTATCCTGGGGAAAAGGTAGTGTTGTAGTATCCCGTTCCTTTCAACACCGCAGTACCACAGCCATTCAAACTGTCCTAGTCATGCCTGTGGAATTCCAATAACAAGCCGGTCCAAGATAATTTCTTTTGCGCCTTGCGTTGGTACTGGTGATCACTGCTGCCCTTCACCAGGGTTGAGGACTAGGAGGGATAAATATGGAGGGTGTGGGATAAAGGCTCTGGGACATGAGATTCCACGGTGTGAGATGGTGGAATATCATGAGCTAGCGTGGGCAGGGTCGCTAATCCCTGAAGTAGGTATGTTTCCACCGGGATCGTGAAAAGTACCTATCCGCTACCCCCTTAAAATATACTTAATAACAATAAATAATATTACAATTATATTATTCTTTTCAAAATCAATTTATATACACACTTTTTTCATGAATTTTATTATTAGTTAGTTACTAGTATTTATTTAGGAAAGAAGGTTAAAATCTAGGCACAGAAGTAAAAGAGAAGACTCTCTACATTTACCAACACAACAAGATCTTGCACCATCAAAGACTTATACAAGGGACAGGCAATACGATGACTCAAAACATAACAGACGAAAATTATCGCCAACAAATAATAACAAAAATGCTTCTATTTATATTCTTAAACAAAAATACCGTGTAACACCAACTGATCCCACAAATTTGGTTGAACCTACAAGAAATAGAGACTCTATTGAAAAACCACCAACTTCCATTGTATATTTTAAACCATCATTCTATAGTGAAAATATTCCTAGTTTATCCCTCGATAGTCAAGACGCTAGCAGAATAAACTATTTTTTAAAGCAACCTGAAGAAGATAATATGCCCTGTCAAAGGTAAATAAAATATTTATACATATTTGCCTATAAATCTACAATTTTCTTTTAAAAATTAGCTGTTTCTGTTTTGTATAATATTTAAGATAGAAGATAAGTATATATATTTTTTTAAATTCTATTTAATTCAGAACGCAGTCATTTTTATACGCTCCCTGTATAACTGAGTTGCATTTCAAATTGAACATTAAAATTTGTTTTGATCATGTCGATTCTTGAAAGATGATGTAAGCCTATTCTGAAACTTTTTTCTATTGGTCAAATTTAATCAGACGATCGCCTTTTGGCTTAACCCATCTTTTACCAAGGGTAAGAAAAACGAATGCAATTTCACAAAATTAGTTTTATTCGTTAAAGTAAAGCTCATTTAAGAAGAAATATAAAAAAAATTTCCCGTTCCAAACTTATGCCAACAATGGTATTGCGAAAAACAATTGGTGTGCAAATGAAAATTGCGTTTTGTGGAGGTAAATTTGTTACGGCTTATGGAGTCTGTTACAATCATAAATCAATGCTCGTTGACGTTACGGCTGGAACCCCACAGAGATCAGCCTTGGTTCCGACGCTATGGAAACTTATAGGACGGGGTTATCAACTGCCAATATGGAGAAGGTATGATCCCCTTCACTTTTAAGGATGATCTCGCTGTGCTGATAGTAGCGGGGGACGAACCAGATCTCGGATCACGGACTAGAACTCGCAGCAGTGAAGACCGAAGCCATCATTCTAAAGAGTAAATAGAAGAGACTAAGGATTGAACTCCAAAAGAGGTACAGCTAACATCAAAGAAATGCGTCAAATACCTGGGAGTTACACTACGTCAATATGGCGGTTGGGGGAGCATAATTATACGGGTGGTAGCCCAGCGAAGAGTGCGGCTGCGATGGGGAGGGGATACCTAACATTGGAGGACTCAAATTAGAAAAGAGATGCGCCTTACACAGTGTTGTGCAGCCAATCATTCTTTACGCGGTACCAGTCTGGACTCAGGCGGTAGATACCAACCTACAAGGAGCTTATGATAGAAGTAGACAGAACAAGTTTGTTGCGAGTAGCATGCGCCTACAGGACTGTATCGGTGGCGGTCTTGTGGACTATCACGGGTTCTGTTTCCCTCCATGTGTTAGCGGTAGAAAGGAGACACCTCTATTTGAGAAGAGACCATTTTCACAACACCCATAAAAAAAGAAGAAAGAGAAAGATGAATGGAAAGATGACAAAAAGAGAGGAAAAAGACGGAAGATGTTGATCCTGAGTATAAGGCACTGGGTGGAGTGTGGTCACAGGCGACTTGATTACTTGATGACCCAAGTGCTGACAGTCCATTTTTTTTTAGCGTATCTTCATAGGTTCAGAAAGACAGATACAAATAATTACTGAGGAAATAAGTATCAACCCTGTGACTGTGAGAGAGATGATCGTAAAGATGACGGGAACGGGAAGAAAGGATGGAACGGTGTACATGATTACATCCGAACAGTAATTAAAAAGAAAAAAGAAGAGAAACATCAGCCGGAACAACGACAGAGATAAGATCTAGATAAGAGAAATGAGTGCTCTGAAAGTGTCATCAACATTACAGCAGCCATCCCACTTTCAGAGTACAGCACCTGCGACAGTCAACTGCGCACAACTAGGAGAGGGTGGTTTTAGTTGGTAAGCAGGATAATAGGAAGGCATCCGTTTACAGATCTCTTTCTTTTATCGAGAAATGGCCTCGGATGGACTTCTCTACCCTGAATCCAACACGTCAGCCATTTCATGGGATGGGAATAAAAAAGTTTTAAAACTCAGTGTTGTATAACATTTTTCTGGTTATATGGCAAGTTTTATGTTATCAAACAGTTGTCGGTAAACATCAAAGAAAGTTATAAAACATTGTAAAACCGCATCGTGACTAATCTATACTTAAAAACATGTTATTGAAGCATTTCTTTGGCAGAGTACACGAGCAGAAACAGTCTGAGTCATATCGCCCTGTTCATTCTAATTCTTGAGTGATTTTACTAAACTAATCTTTGCTCTGTTCACGTGGGGTTATTTCTTATTTACGCGATGAAATGGTCGAAAGAACTGACTACTCATTTAATTGAGCTATTTCGGGAACAACGAGTATTATGGGATACTACATTCATGGGTTCTGAAAACCGATATAAAAAACCCGATGCATGGACTGAAATAGCCGGAGAAGTGAAAGCAGATATAAGCGAAGTTGACAAAAAAATCTACGTATGACGCCATTTTATATACTGCCTAAAAGTTATGCGCATTTTGTTGTGTTGTTTCTAGTTATATAGCCTGGATGCTATGTTATATTATAACAAGTTACAAAACAAAGTCGTAAAACAAATTTGTTGTACAACTTTGTTATTTAACATGTTTTGTTACATAGTTTGGACCCGGCTTAATGGGAAGGTAATGAGAGGTGAAGAGCCGTCGTTCGAGGTGTCGGGTTTGTAGAAACGCACTCGGGATGGTTAGTCATCTCGGTCATCGGTTTAAATTCCTAGAATATGGTTTACATTCTAGTATACGAGACGAACATCTCGTGGGATCACTCTACTCTCATTCCACAAGAGACTGAACGAGCTGGGCCTCTATATACCTCTCAGGGCCTTACACCACCAAGAGTGGTGTCGGTGTCCCGGCACGTACCCACCTGTATGATTTAAGAGTGGTTGAGAAGTGATTCTCGGCGGCGATCTGTCTACGTGCGAGGTGGAATTCCTCGGCCTGCGTCATCTTTCCGCCCCCCGTGGCGGGGGGGGGGGGGGATCCCGGACGGGTGACGTACCCGCAACACAGTGTAATATGGGTAAGGTGGAACCCCACGATGTTTCGGCATAGTGCCGCCTTATTTGGTGTCTGACTCGTAGGGGCAGTGGAGTCGCTAACGGTCGTATGCCAAAAGGCCAGGTACACCAGGGTTCTGCCCTGGTCTACCTGGGTCTATTTATATTTGGACGGGCACAACTCACGCTGTGTACCCTCTTTTCTCGTACACGTTTGGTAAGTTTTTTTTTTAATTAGTCAACAACAAAGGAAAAAGTATGTAGTTTAATAAATTAATTAATTTATAACAAATATAAAGTATCTTTGGGATATGGTATAGCGTTATTTCGATCTCTATTCGAGTTCAACGGTTTAAAAAAAAAAAGAAAAAATTGCTTCATTGAAAGCCGAGAAAATACATTTTTTTACGTAAACCGATTTTGAACTTTGAAATTCAATTTTCTTCAACCTAGTTTTTAGTAGGTATTTTTTACAAGCAATACCGATCATTTTTTGTTATTATTATAATATGCGTTATAAATATCTTACAGATATGAAAATGTTTATTAAGAAAGAGCTCCAAAAGAAAAAGATAATGGTTCAAAAATTACCATCATATTGTTGATATCTTCGTCGCAAATGCCGGTCAACTTTGACGTTCTATCACAAGAATTACGAGTATTATTTGTAATTCAACTTTTTTTCTTTCAAAAGAAGTCTTGCAAAATGATTATGTAAAATCTATTAAATCGATTTTAATTAAATTTAGTGGACTTTGTTGGTTTTATTATATTATAAAGATTTTCTAGGCGAATAATAAAGGCCCTCAGTGTAATCCAATTGGTTGAAAAACATTGCATTTTTAAATATTTTAATTTTTTATTAATATTCTTGGCCTATTTGAGAGGGAGGAGGGAGAGGGAGAATAAGTCGCTTATTATTACTGAATCACACAACTTTTTCTGTAAAAATCAGAATTCCACCTCTCGCATCCAAATGTAGTCGTTTTTTACAGATCCGCTCTGGTCTAATCAACTTTCTTTCTTTTAATTACAATGATTTTCTTTTTAACCAGTAATACATATTAATACAATATTAACTTTCAGATATTCTCAACGGCCAGGAAGTTATTGTCAAAGAAAAACTAACTTTATTGTAGAAGGTATAGAACCAGCAAAAAGATTAAACGCGACAAAAGCTGCAGCAAAGAATACCTCATTGAAGAAGAATTTTGAATGTAAAACGGTATCTGTTATAACAATTCCACCGCACAATCAAAGTAATAAATATATTCCGTTAGAAGAAGAAGGAGGAAATTTGATGGAAAGCTCAAATAAAATGAAACGTTTAAAACTTTACTATCAATGTTCTTTGGACAGTAATAAATGTTCAGGTAGCAATTTTTCTGAAGATCACAGCATTTTCAATGAAAGTCTTAAAATTTTATCTGATTTCTCAGACCCAAATAGAGATCTCAATGAAACTCAAACTGTTAACAAGCTACCAGTTAAACATAAAGATAGTGCAGTAAAAGACTCATCCAGTATGATGCCACCAACACGTTATGAACGACGCAATAAATTTAACGACAATGAAGTTAGCCATGGTTTTAACAGTTACCATAGCACCTTTTCGCAGAGCAATTGCAAAAAAGCTCACATTAAACAGTCAATATCTCCTTATCGTTTGTATAGTCCTGATCGAGATATCAAAAGCCAACAGGGAAAAAGAAAAATTAAAAAACATTTACAAAATGATGCTAATTTGAAATCAAAATCAGACATAAATCTGTTTTGTAAAAGTTCTAAAGACAATAGTGACCTACAAAAAAAACTTATACTACTCGACGAGCTCAAAGATAATAAAGACTTGAAACTACAAGAAGATACAGCACTTTTCAATCTCAAGGTTTTAAAGAATGCTTTAGAAACACAAAATATGCTTTCTAAAGAGCAATTTCCCAACAACAATAATCAAATATTACAACATCTGGAAAATATGTACCATATATATTTAGCAACACTTTCTCAGGCTAATAATGAGGTGAATAACAAAAATCTTAACGGACCTGATGATCAAGTTGTAACTACTCAACAAGACGTAACCAAGTTACATAAAAAAGTTGAAAAACTTGTTGAGAAAGCGGACAAAATTGACGAACGACTCAATAGAGATATAGCTGATAAACAACTACATCCAGATGGTAATCATTTATCGCATCACGACGATAAAAATATTCTAGTAGATTTGGAAAATTGTAAATACAAAACTGTAGATACATCATATCATAATTTAAATGAAGGTAAATTTACTAATTTTTTGCTCTACCATAAGTTTTACTATTACTTTGATTAAGGTACAGTCGCCAATTAAGGCCACCTTAAGGTTTAAATATCTGTAATATAATATGTTCCTGTATTATTCAGGAACAATATGGGGGAAAACTCTTGTATACGTATTGCCTAACACTTTAGCTATCAAATTTCAGGATAAAATAGTTACTAAATAAATAAAGAAATATAAAATTTTAACATTGAATAAATCTGGAATATTTGGCCTTATTAGGAATTGGTAGCTTAATAAGGCCAGTTTCATGTTTTACACAAATTGAGGTGGATAATAAATTGTAAACCTAAGAATTAAAGAACAAATACAAAATTTAGTGAAAGAAACTTTTATTCATATTAAAAAAAAAGTGTCAATACATTAAGCACACATATCGCACATTTATACACATCTGGGACATACAAACATGTCCTTATCCTTTTTTGTTAACCCTATACATTCCTCGTGGATGTACTTATTACACCGAACACACTTGCGCATGTCAGCCACTCTATCCTCATCACACAAGAAGCAGTACCATGAGTCTTTTTTTAAATTTGGTTTTGGATCTTTTTTTAAATTAGGTTTAGGTTTGGCTGAGCTATGAGATTGTCCTTTAAATAGATCCCTGGTAACTTCTTGTGCTTTCGCATTAATGGCTTGTCGACGCTTTTTTGTTAATACTTTCAACTCCGGTGTAGTCAGCAAACCACTGGAACTAAAACTTGCATTCAGCTCTTCACATGGCTCTGTTTCACTTAGTTTTGCCACCATATTATTGTCATGATTATCTGTGTAAACTACATCACTCTTCTCATAATTCTCGCTGGAAGCTGTATCGCTTGTATAAGACCCATATGAGTCGCTGTCTTCATCTGAGATGTTCATCTGAGTTTGAAAAACTTTATAAGTTCTGTTTCTTTAAATTTTCCTTTTTTCACTATTCGACAATGCTTTGCTTTTAGATTTTTGGTTTACACCACTGCCATTGCTGCAGGATGGCTGTTCTTCGAAATGTGTATTGGTTTGTGCAGTCGGTACAATTTCTGGTCTGGTTATAGGACTTTCTTGAGCATCTTCGGTCATTGGTTCAATCTCTCGGTGTGTTAGACAGCTAGGTGCAAAGGCAGCATCCGGAATAGCATTTGGATTGAATGGCCATATCCCAGTTGCTTCAAATCCAGAACAAATATTTTTTGTGTCATTGACTTTCTCCAAGCCGGCGTAAAGATTTGCCCAAATCGTGCTCGGTTGATGGTTCTTTCATTTTTATGGTTCACCCAAAAATTTAACACCTCTTCATCCCAGTACGACTCAAAACTTCTGAAAACTGCTTTATCGAGTGGTTGAAGCTCGTGGGTGGTGTTGGACGGTAGACAAAACAGAGTTACATTTTTTTTTCATTGCAGCTTCTACAATTCTATGTCTAAGTGGGATGAAGCTCCATCAAAAATTTAAAGGGCTGGTCCAGGATTTTTGAATCCGCAGAAGTGATCTAACCACTCTATAAATGCATCTGTTTTCATGCTTCCTTTCTTGGTCATTATAATTTTTGATTCTGCTGGAAGATTATAATACCATTCTGACTTAACTCGTTTCTCTTTCATAATGATAAGTGGAGGAATGCTGTTGCCTATGCCGTTATTACATCCCACGATTGTTACATTTTCGCCGTGCTCTGGTGCAACAATATGGACCCTTTTAGCACCTTTACTAGCCAACACAGTTTGTTGGTGATGCAGCGTAAGCTGGCATCCTTTTTCGTCTATGTTGTAAATTTGAGCAGGTTTTCCTGCGAAACCCTTCTCATATAAAATCTGTCGAAGTTTCTCGAAATAGTCACTGATAACTACGCGATTCTTGTGCTCTGGCCAAATTGAGTTTTTGAGCCCGACGCTTTGCAATGTCAGGATGCCTTGAGAAAAACAATTTCATCCATTTTTTTCCAGTTATCTCCTTTTTAGCTGAGAATGGGTGCCTTATTCCTGCCTCTTTTACAAAAGCATACACATTTTTTCGTAATATTTTGGGGGTTAATGGCATACCGACGTCACACAATCTTCCTATACGTCTAACCAATTCTTGTTCCTGGAGTTTTATAAGTACTGGACGCCGACAAGTTTTTGTGAACTGCCACTAGCTAGATGGTTACGTAACGTACGCTGAGGAATATTAAATGTAACTGCTGCCTTATAAACAGCCATTCCATCTCGTACGGCATTCATTGCAGCTTCAATGGCCTCTTCGGTCCACTGTGCCCTTTTCCTGGTGGACATATCTGCAAAGAAAAAATAATTTAAGTCACTATGTACAGAAATATATGTAAAGTCCACCAGCTCTTAATAAGGCCAGTCCACTCCTAATAAGGCCAGTCAATTGGCTTTATTAGGACACTGTCTACTTTTTTTATTTAACATAAAAAAAAATAATAAAAAGCAATATAGCGAAAAAACAGTTCCAGTTCCTTAAAAAGTATTAATTTACTATCGCTTTACAAAGAAAAAATAATTGGCATATATTCATTAAGTACCATTTTAGTAATTTTATAACTTACCTAAAATTTATAAACGAACTTCGGCACCATAACAAACAAGTGTCTATTTAGTCTACTTGACGCTGCTATGTGATACTACCGACTGAATAGCGTGGACGATTTTGACTGAAAACGATTTACCGTGACCTCTAAAAATATAATATCTATATTTAAGAAAATATTTGCTATTGGCCTAATTAAGACACTGGCCTTAATTGGCGACACTACCTTATATGTATTATTTATAAACAGTTATCAATTTTTATTTTTCAACTTCATGTAATTCTTTATAGTTACCGCTTACTTTTTGGTGACCTTATAATTTTGAAGATCTGTCCCCGACCATCATCATTATACTGACTATGTAGGTCCCAGCCTCCTCAAGAATTTCTCTCCAGTCGTCCCTATTGATCGCCTTCCACCGCCAAGCACATATTACCATATTTCTCATCTCTACATTGAGGTTACCTTGAAGGAACCTTATTCTGAGTGTTCCTCTTCATCTTTGACCACTAGGTCTATCAAGGAGCATTTTTTAGTTGGGTTGTTTTGTTCCATCCGCATTACATGTTCTATCCACCTCAGACGTCCTACCTTAATATATTTTACGGTATCTGGTTCTTGGTATATTCTATAAAGTTCGAAATCGTAACGTCTTCTCCACACCTAATTGTCATTCATCGCTTCATAGATTCGCCTTAGGACGTTTCTTTCGAAACAACATGTTTATTACGTTTTGTTTGAGTCCAGGTCTGAACCATATGGTAGGACTTGGCGTATTATTGTTATGTAGCTTTTTACCTTTGTATTTCTCGATATAATTGAGAATTTAAAAAGGAGATTAAGCCAAAAATAGCACCTGTTGGCCGTGCAAATTCCGCGGTTCATCTCTGTGGTAGTGTTAATTTAGTAATGACGAGACCTCCCATGTATACAAATGGCATTGACATCGATGACATTGTTCATAACAAGTGGTCTTAGGATTTGTGGTTGCGTGCTTATTTTCATGTATTTAGTTCTATTCGTGTTTATTAAACCCATTTTTGTAGCCGATTCTTTTAGTTCTACATATACCTCTCGTACAACGTTTTTCGCTCTCCCAGAAATATTGATATCATCAGCATTGTCAAGGATTGCACTGATTTGTTATAGATTGAACTGGTGGTTGTAATTTGTGACATACGTATTACTTTTCCATAACTAGATTAAACAGTATACAGAAACAGAGTCTTCTTGGCGCAGCCCGTTATTTCTTGTAAAAGGTCTAGCTATTTCATTGCTTTGAACGTTTCTCTTTTATTTACAGAGTCGTAGGCTACCTTATATCTTAATATCCTGATAAGTATTTATGCTATATTCTGATATTTTCTAATTGTAGATTTACCACATCTGAAACCAGCTTGATATTTTCTTATTATTTGTTCTGCATATGGTGCCAGACGATGGCATAGTATAGTGAAGAAAATTTTATACGCTGCGTTTAGAAGCGTAACTCTTCTGTGGTTAGAGAATTCAAAAATATCTCCTCTTATGTATGGTATAAGTTATTCCAATATTTCAATATTTCTTTCTTTGCTTGCTTTATGCAGTCTATGCCGCATTAACTATAGCTCCCCATCTTCGACGACCTTGCTCTTCCATTTCCCATTGTTGTATCCAATCCTAGATAAATCGGCTTCAACATTATATTTCCATCTTTTTATAGGACTGCCTACTAATCTACTGTCTAGTCTCTCAAAAAACACTGCTTTTAGCACTCTGTCTTCCTCTAATCTTACCATACGACATGTCTATCTTACTAAGTTAGCTTATATATACCTGACGATTTTTTCAGTGCCGTACAGAGTCACCAATTCAACATTGTAGTGGCTTCTCCACTCTCCTATCAGCAGCTTATTTATTTCCCGCTGATGTAGAGTCCATGTTTCACTTCCATATGTAACAACTGGGCGAATAATTGACTTATTGGCATGACTAGATGGTACAGTCTTATTATTCCATTATAAAACAAAAAATTTTAATTTGTTGAAAACAAAACCATAGAAATATAAAGTATTTTTCACAGTAAAATCATTTCACGTCACGATTTACACAAAATAACGTTAGTTGTTTTAAAACTTCCATAACATCAACCTTAAAGTTCAAATTTTCCATTCAAAGTCAAAACACATCTAAAAATATGACACCCATACCACAGAATAAATAACAATCAGAATGCCCACTCTCAGATGACGCCTGTGAAGTTTGTCAGCACGCAAACGTAATACCAAAGAATATAGACGCTTAATTAGACGCAAAGAATATAAGCGCCTATATTCTTTGGTAATACTTTAGACAGAAACATAGACTCGAATTTAGAAATTTGTGACAAGCTGCGACAGAACTGTTATTTAAATTTTTAGATATTAATAATGTAGTACATTTGAAATAATTTAATCTATTCT